AGAGAGAGAGAGAGAGAGAGAGAGAGAGAGAGAGAGAGAGAGAGAGAGAGAGAGAGAGAGAGAGAGAGAGACGAACACACAGAAGTATGCGTACGTGTGTGTGTGTGTCTGTGAGAGAGAGAGAGAGAGAGAGAGATTCACGTGTAGTCGTCAGATCAAACATTAGGAAATGCCTTACTTGTTCCGTCGGGTCCGGTCGGGATGCGACGTTTTCCGAAGGAAGAACAGGTCCGTCCACACCATGAGGGTATACGTTATTTGCAAAGAAATGCAAAGAAATCGGATTCGCTTGATGTAGGGAAGCCATTTTACGTTATCAATTAAATTTATGATTCTGTTGAGAATACCTTTCTGTGATGTTTGTGTACCAGGTAGAACTTAGAAGCTTTTCGATCTTGGGGTCCCTTTTGGGGAAAGTAATAAAACCTCCGCGCGACGAAACCTTTGTATTCGCTTCCCTTTCTCTCGTCCTTTTGCTTCTTAAAGTTTATATAATTATGCTGGAAACGCGATCTATAGTCCCTTCCATCAGAGAAACACACCACGCTTCCCTCCATTAAGCCCGACTCCTGAGGGACCCTGAGTCCATGTCATTGATTGCTCCCTGTTCGGAGGGGTGATATTTCTCGATTTATGCGTGTCATCCTTGCGCAGGGGCCATTTGCTAATTACCCTTCTCTGTATCGTTCCAATTATAAGGGATGTCCCGAAGGACTCGGAGGGGTGATATACCTCGCCCCCCATCCTGTTTGTTGCATCACCTACTGCCGCATCTGCCACTGAGTCTTTCAGGCCCTTCAGGGCATGCTCACACTAGCGTTTCGGAAATGTATAGGACTGCAATTACGGTCAGACGTGGATGAATCTGGCTGCCATTCCATCCACAGCTTAGTAGAAAAAGTGCTCCAGTCAGTATGCCCTCAGTTATGCTTGGCGTAGCTCTCTTCATGCTGCAAGTAGACTTCCATCGTTCCCTTGAGTTATGGGTTGTCCTTTGCCAGTCCCTAAACTGCTTGTTATTGCATTCACTGCTCTGTCATAATGGGGGTATTAATGGCTCCCTCGCTTGATCCTCGTGCTGTGACATCCACTGTATCACACTGTTGCTGCTGCTTGTTGGCTTTTGTTGTCCTGCTGTTTTCTTGCTTCGTGCTGTCCCAGTTCCTCAGTGACATCCTCTTCCTCACTTCATTTACTGCCGTATGTCGGCGACGGACTCGGCGTATGACTATCACCAGGGCAGGCATCCTGAACGATGACTGTGCCAGGCTGTTTCTTCGGACTTTCACCTCCTCATGCTTCTTCTTTGTGGAACTGTGTACAGCGAACATGACAAAACACACATGCGCGGATGCAAATACACAAAGAAGAGAGAAAACACACATGCGCGCACACACACACACACACACACACACACCAAATCAGTTATCTAAGTCTTTTGTTAGTTTTTGTTGTTTACCTTTCTTGCTGTTTTCTAACATGTCATTCTTACTCCTATTTTTTCGGGTACTTTATGTTTGAGTGAGCACCTTTACGAAGTGCCAAAGGGTACGTTGTCCGTTGTTTGGAGGGCCTGCAGGATTCTTTGGGGAGTCTCTCTGTTCGTGATGTCTGTGTGGTGCATGTGATCTATGGGTGATGACAGATGCTCGTCGGAGTGACTCCGTGGCTGAGAGCGTGGTGGGTACCAACAGTCTAGGGGGGGCACTCATGATAAGAGTAGGTGATGTGCTGCTTTGCTCCGTGTTGGATGTATGTATAGAGCACCTCGTCTGCGCTCCGCCACTGCCTTGTTGCCTGTCCTGCTTGGGACGTTGCGCCGAATGCAAGCTGCTGTGTTCACTGTGGGGTGTGGTTGCGATGTTAATTTTGCGCCGTGCTTCGCTGCGCTACTACCTTGCTGCCCAGTGCCCATCCAAGCTGTGCTGTTGGTGTTGCCTTGAGTGTGCGCAGTGTGGTGTCGCTGCCGTATTGGTGTTGCCTTGTGCTTCACTGCGCTGTTGCTGTACTGCTCTTTATGACAGTGCGCTGTTGCTGTACTTCTCTTTAGGATACTGCGCTGACGTTGAAATAAACAGATGATTGTGAACAGACACATGGGAAGTTTGGGTTACAATTTGTCTATTAGCAGTACATATCCGTTCCTCAGTTGCTCTCAAGGAGTCAATAATGAAGCAGATTTGATTGAGGGGGGCAATTGGTTTGTGAATGGACAAGGCTAGAACAACACTGGCCGGCGCTGGGGCGTGGTTGCGCTGCCCTGTGACCCGAGTTGTACGGGAGCAAGAGGCCAGGTAGAGAGATCTGGGGAGTTGTCGAGGGTGGAAGGCAGTCCAGAGTCCAGTGTCTGTGTATGAGCTGGTATTCAGACGACGCTGGTCGGAGCCCGGGTGAGTCCCTTCGCCCTGTAGCCCAGCAGGTGGGGGTTATTCTGGAGTGGGTCGTGCCACTCTGTAACCTAGCAGTTTGTGGTGTGAGGCCTAGTAGAGTCTGGGTATTGAGAGCATGTGGGTTGAGGTAGGCTTAGGGCGGGTTGCTCAATCGCACTAGGGCATTTTGGTTTCGGGCTAAAAACTTCTACGCATTCAAGACTCAAAGTAGTTGGTACTCAAGTTTTTTCTAGTTGGTTTTAGGTTTCTTCACAAGTAAGTTGGCTGTTTGTTGGTCTTAAGAATGTTCTAGGACTCTGGGGACTCCTAGCAACTCGGCTTAGGTGGCTTCGATGCTGATTATGCTCAGTCATCTGCGGCTGTTCGATGCCAGAACGAGGCTGGCCGGTGCTGGGGTGTTACCCTGTAACCCGCTGCTGCAGGAGTGTGAGGCCTGGTAGAGAGATCTGGGGACGCTTTGGAGTGGGCACTCTACGGGACACCCACGGGTTGCTGCTGGGACGACGACGTGACGCTGGTCGGAGCTGGGGTGAGTTGTGTTGCCCTGTAACCCAGCAGGATGTGGGGGTGTGAGACCTGGAAGAGCTCGGCAGGGAGTAAGACAGTGTCGGAGAGCTTTGGAAGGGTTTGTTAGGCATCTCGAGGGTTGTGGAACATTTGTAGGACCCCTGCGGTCTATTCCCATGTCTCCCAAATTACTGCAAGTGTTCTAAGACGTTCTCTCAGCCGAACCGGGTAATGGCCCCGGTATCTCAAAAAAAGAGATCGAGGTGAGTGGGAGAAGGAGATGGTGGATCATGGTGCGATATCACGCGTCCTACTAGTGAGGGGGCTTGTGATGCGCAACCTCACGCCATGCGCGGCCTTCCGTACGTCGAACGCCGATCAGAGTTATTAGGGGCATGACCGAGGATTTTTGGCTGTGGGGGTTGAAATCCGGACGAAACGGGGGACTCACGCTTCGACCCAAGATGCCTGGGCGGGGATTTGAGTTCGCCGAAGGCGGATGATGGGAGGGCAGTGTCCTACGGCGGCACGGCCCGACCGTCATCCTTTTTCGGAAAGAAAGAAAATAAAAACGAGAGACGAGAAGAAAAAACGAAGCTGTCGGGGGTGGAGTTCCGTTCCCCAAGGCGCAGGGTTCGCGCGGCCCTTGCGGGTGGAGGCCCCGGAAAGAGGTTCAGGCGTCATTGTCAGATTCGTCGAGTCCATGCGGACGGCGCGACATGGGCTTGCCGGGGGTCGGACAGCTCGATGGGACCCAGGTTCGGAAATGGGCGGGGAGTGCACCCGCGTTACGGGAGAGTTCGGGGAATCGGGTAGCGTCTTCGTACCCCAGGACCAACCGTTGCCACGAGCACGAATCTCCTTGGCCACACCAAGGACAATTAAACCCCGGTCGCCAGGTGGCTTGCATTGCAGACCAGGGCAGCACCGTGAGGCCGGTGTACGACAAAATTAAAGGCGGCGACGAAAATCGCTCAATCAGCGGAAAACCCACTCCCGCCGATGTGGCACGCCTGAGTCGGGTTGTAAAGGTGGATTCACTGGATTGGCTCAGTGCGCCGCAGCAGGCTCCGCACGTCCGCATCGCAGTATATGTCATCGTCGTCTGCGATCGGGAAGGGTGGAAGCGCTCTGCGACACTCTGAGCCAAGGTCCGAGCTCGGGCCACGGCCCCCACTTCCATCTGTCGGGACGAAACTTGACCCCACGCAAAGATCAACGAATACCGCCGAAGACGGATGCACCACACTCCCTTTCTCCGTCTCTTGTTTGTTTCCTCAACCTGAACACGGTGGAGGACCCGGAAATAGGTTCAAGCGTCGTTGTCGGACTCGTCGAGTCCGTGTGGACGGCGCAACACGGGCTCGCCCGGGATCGGACAGGTCGATGGGACCCAAGTTCGAAAATGGGCAGGGAGTGCACCCGCATTACGGGAGAGTTCTGGGAATCGGGTAGCCCCTTCGTAACCCAAGACCAACCGTCGCCATGAGCACGAATCTCC